TATTTACAATAGTCAAAGGATAAAATCAACCTAAATGTCCACTGACAGGCAACTGGATAAGAAAAATGTGGTATACATATACACAATGGAATACTACCCAGTCATAAAAAGGAATGAAATTGTGCCACTAGCAGCAATATGGATGAGCTTGGAGAAAATTTTGTTAAGTGAAACAAGCCAGGCACAGAAAGAGAAATGCCACATGTCCCCACTCATAAGTGGAAGCTAAGAGAGAAAGAAAGAAACAAGCAAACAACAATCACAATACTGCATTTAATTTTCAGGAGAGAACAGCACTGTTGTTACTAGAGGTGGGAAAGGGGGTGTTAGCGAGAAATTGGTTAACGGACCCAAGGAATGATTACATTTTGCAATGATCAACATGCTAATTATGCTAATTATTGATCATCACATACTGTACACATGTAGTGATATTCAACTCTACCTCACAATTATGTATAATCAATTTTTTTCAGTAAAAACAAAACGTGAGATTTAAAAATGTTTAGAAATACACCCATTCAATAATAAATCTTTCATATTAAGACAGAAGATCAAATGTTTTCATCACAAAGAAATGATAAAGTTTTGCTATAATGAATATGCTAATTACGCTGATTTGATCACCACATTGTATACCTTTATTGACATATAGCTGTGTATCCCATAAGTACACAAAATCAAGAGGTTTTAATTTAAAAATAAATAAATTCCTTAAAAAGCCAAAGACAAAAGATCAGCTATCTAGTTCTTAACTCTGGTGGACAATAGTAATAATAATAATAATAACAAATCTTCTATACCAAATGGAGTATATTAAAATAAAAACCATAAAATCATTTATCTGTATTATATTTGATGAAGCATATTTGATCAAAATATATGGTGCTTCAAGTAATTTAATCATTTACAATAATGGCTTTTTAATTAATTGGACTTAAAATTATCAGTGTATTAATATGATGCTTTTTGCTGCACAGGACTGATATCTAATCCAACAAAATTTTATTCATGTGCAAGGATTCTTAATAATATATTCAAAGTAATTAACTTCTGTGGAAAATATTATGACAAAAGGCAGGACTTATCTAAAAACAACACTGAAAACCAAGTATATTGTTACTTACGATGAGCTGTTTCAATCCAACAAAAGACTGTTCCACTGAGTTGGCATTTAAGACCTGTCTCTTTGCTGCAGCTTTTTCACCCAGGAAGCGAAGCATCAAATCTCTAACTGCATCTCCCTGGGAAGAACACAAAAAAAACATGTCAAGACAATAACATGTTAATTAAACTCAGCTAACCAGAACCCATTATAACCAAAATTTCTTTTCTCTTTTGGCTTATGGAGGTAAAAACAGTGATTATGATATAGTAAAATTTCAACTAACCATAAGCTAAATCACGACGGACTATTAATAAAACGTGTATTTTTAGAATTGACCTTTATTTTGAAGAGAAAATGGTAAATCACCATGACCTGTACCAGCCTTAGACTAAGAGGCAAAACCAAGCCAGGAGAGGGGATTCAGGTGATAAGACTGGGAAGCCCCAGGTGTATGAGGTGACACTGCTGGGACAAGGGGTTGTGGTCACTGGGAGAAGCACCACAGTGGCGGGCTGGACTCATGCTGTGGCGGGCTGGCCCGAGCAGAGCTCTGCCCGACTCCCATCAATGCACCACACTCTCCTGGGCCTACAGGAGAGCCTCTGGGGCCAGGGCTAACGAAGCCCAGTTACTGGAGGCTTGGAAGCGCCCACCTTCTTTTCTTTTTTTTTTTCTTTTTTACTGACTGGTAACGGGATTGCAACCCTCGGTGTCACGCCCATACCGGGGACCG